CATCAACGCTTTCCTCTCGAGCGCTAACGCTCTCTGTTAAATGGCTAGAGACCTGCAGCGATGGTCAGCCAGTCGATGGGCGTGCCACGTCGACAGCGCCAAGAGACGGTCACACTGGATCGCCAGGGCATATCCTTTGCTACGAATTGCGTATCGGTCCACCTTAAGGGGTCCGCCTCTCTTTCCACTAGGTAATTTCCCCTTCTTCTACCTTAGACCTAATCGTAGAATTCTCCATTAGCCCACCCATAAGACGTGTTAAACCTTTTTCGGTCTGACCTAATGTATGTAATTCGCATAGGTAATTCTTAAACCTCGCATCAACATTTTACACTCCTCATTTCCAGGCCACTGATCGCGGCGATCGACCACTGATCGGCTTCTGCCAATTCTCCTATCGAGGTTGTCGACGTCAACGATAATGCTCCACAATTCGATCGAGCCTCTTACGAAACGAGTATGTCGAGGAGTGAAGCAATCGGGTAATTACTTGTCAATTTCAAACTTCTACGGATTTAAAGAAATCGTTCATGGAAATTTCTTGCATTTCTTTCCAACATGAATGCGTCAGTTCTGACCGCTAGAGATCACGTATAAGGTTCCACTCAAATATTTTTTCGATTCACTTTCAATAGCAACAAAACATGCTGTAGGGACAGTGGCGGGTAGGCCGGGTGATATAATTTAAAAACATAAGATTTTTTCTAGACCAATTTTCAAAATTTAGTTCTTCATTTATTTATTGATAACTTACTTCTTAGAACATCGATTCTTACGGTATTCGCCTTCGATACGGACGCTCCACATAATGCTAATGTCACCTACCACCTAGAGGCGGATCCGTCGGCTGGTTGGTTCTCGATGATTCATACTCAGTTTTAATTATAGGTTTCAGTCATTGATCGGATTGATAGGATGTTATCGATTTTAGGGGATGAATACCAGAACGATTCCAGCTATTTCAAATTTCTTAACGAGCATTCAGGAGAAATCACACTTGTGAAGCCGATACCAAGGAATCAGGTGCTTCTAAATTTTTACTGGAATTTCGGCTGTTGTGAAAAAGGATAATATCCGAACGAAGAACCTGAGCTGAATGAGAATTTGTCGGCCGAGTACAACGACATCGAGTGTTCTTTGATTCTCCCCACGTTCCAATATCGGTCCTGATGGGCTTGGTGAAGCACTGCCACGCGCTACTACGAAACGGATTCGAGTCATCCCACTTAGCTAACGCAGTCGCCCTTCGATCTTGTGCCCTTTTTAAGGTACATCCCCATTCAAAACTACCAACCTGACGTCGCTCCACGACCGCTCGCAGAACGATTTGTGAATAGCAAAGCACTACACCGATCCATCGTGCTGGCGCAAAAAACATTGCCTTTAAATGGAGTAAAAATCTGTTGCGTTACTGAAATTAAAAGGTTGAAATTTTTCAGAAGGATAAATTCATCTTCAATGTGATTGCCGACGATAATGGTATTCCAGAAGCACAACGTTCAACTGTTCAGGTATGAAAGAGAATTGGGTAATCCCAAAGAATTTCTTGGAATGAAAAAAGGCTAAATTTGAACAATTCAAGGTGACACCTCCAAAGTTTCATGAGAAGCAACCATCGCCCCTTCGTGGCAAACGAGTCCCTCGATTGCAGAAGGAGGTGACAAGTGGTTGAAAATGGCGAAAGGTATGTTAGTTAGCTGAGATTCCACTTGGAAAGATCTCACAATGAAACCCCTCAAATGAAATTTGAATTCAGTTGAAATATAAAATTGAAAGTTGAAATTTGAATTTGGAAAGGTGTTATGAATACATGTTGAAATGCTGTTACAGATGAACAAGGTGCTTCTACGGTGTCGAGCAATTGCTGGTGACGGCTCAAAAAGCTCCATTGTCTATAAGTGAGTTTTGGGATTGTAAGAGCGAATGTTGTTACTTGCCAATATTACGATGGGCTTTGGAAACCAAATAACATAAGAAGATATTTGTAGGCTGACCAATGGCGGTGTGATGCGACCCGGCAAAGCCGATGCGAAATTCCGTCAATTCAATAAAATCGAGGATGGGCGTGAATGGGTTGAGGTTGTGATCATGGAACCACTCGATTATGAACAGGCTCAAAACTACACTCTCACGCTCACTGCTACGGTATGTCACCCACCTTACTGTAGTCATACTGTAGTACATACTGCAGTATATTCTCCACTGTTTCAGGATGTGAATTCGGCGATTGTCATCGGGCGGGTCGTTCACAGTCCTTGTTGAAGACGTGAATGATGTTGTGCCACAGTTCACAGTGGATCTCTTCACGGGAACTGTTGATGAGGAGCTTACGCCAGCTGAATATTTGGAGAAGTAAGGCCTAGCTTTTTAGTGTGACGGTTAAAAACGTTACCGAGACTTCAAACAGCTCACTTGTTCAAACTACACCGTATTCCATTTGACCTATTCCAGAGTTGGTAAGCCAATAACCACCGTGAAAGCAGTCGACACAGATTCCAACGGTCCGCAGAATGAGGTCAGTTATCAGATTTCGTTTCGGGAGACCTCCATTTCTTTTTCTTCTTTTATAAAAATTTCTGAGAATTCATAGCCATCTATTGAACTTGATCGACTGTGCTAATATCCTGTACAACTCCTATCATGGGGTTCATCCTTGAACATAGCTTTCGTAAAGCACGACTTTCTGATCGAGGCCAACCTTCTCTTGTGACCGCTTTCTTCTCGAAATAAAAAAAATCCTGGCCATTAAGTTGTCCTGTGAAATGGTTCACATGGGCTACCCAGTCTCTAATGTCAGTTTTCCAGGTTCACTACCGAATTCTCGATGTGCCGGATCCGCTGGGAGCCCAACTGTTCCGTATTGATGAACTGACCGGAGAGATATGGCCGAATGCCAAGTTTGATCGGGAGCAAAAGGATATGTACATACTCACCGTAGAAGCTCGTGACAATTTACCATCAGCCCTACCAGGAGCCAAAGGACCGAACAAAGGTAGGCGTCGATACTGTAGCAATCGATAATCGATTGGCTCCTTAGAGCTTAAATCAGCGAAAAATGTCACAGAAAATGCTTGAGAACGAGTATGTCTTGAGTCGTGTTCTGTTTCCTGTGCGCTTTTTAAGCAGAACTAATGGTGGTGGACTTTTCAGATAATGTGAAAGTCCAAATCGTGATCGGTGACGTGAATGACAACGCGCCATCATTCGATGAGCCAAAATACATCGGAAAAGTGCTGGAGAATGCTGATCCTGGTCACGATATCATCACAGTCAAGGCTCATGACATGGATAAACGTCAGTTCATTTTCATGCTCCAGAATGGCTCATACTCTTTGAGCTTGATGTATGTCACCGGCAATGTTATGCATACAAAATTGGGTTTGAGAGATTAGTAATTGGTTGCGCGATACCGTATGTTTACAAGCATTGTCGATGCGAAGAACTTTAGAACTGACAAATTCTAGTGCAAAAGGGGTGGAGCGTTTTGATACTGACTGATCGGAGGTGAAGTGGTGCCCGTGCCATGGCAAGATAAAGCCTGTATGAGATTATTTTGAAAGTATTTTCGGAAAGCGTGGCACATTTCTTGCT